GTATGCTTGACGTATCTTCACAATCGCCTTCATGGGTTCCAATGGCCGACATGTTAGTTAGGAGATGGCAATTAGGAGTCGGAGTATTAAGTGATTCCATATATGCTGTAAGTTAAATAAATATTTATATTATTATATTACTTATTTTATATTATAATTTTTTAATTCTAGGTTGGTGGATGTAATATCGAAAATGCATTAAATAGTGTAGAGATTTTCGATGTCTGTATTCAAAAATGGAGAATGGTGGCTAGTATGTCAATTAAGAGATATGGTTTGGGTGTTGGTGTACTAAATAATCTTTTATACGTGGTGAATAATTATATTATTTATTTAATTTTAATTTGTAATACATTTCATAAAATTAAATTGTGTAGGTTGGGGGTGCTGGTGCTGGTAACATTGTTCGTTCTGTGGAATGTTATGATCCCGCACTTGACACATGGACAAAAGTTGCAAATATGTCTAAATGTCGTAAATGGGTTAGTGTAGGAGTCATGGACGGCGTGATGTATGCAATTGGTGGTTTTGATGGAAGTGTGTATCTTAAAAGTGTAGAGGCTTATAGACCGAGTGATGGAGTTTGGTCTTCTGTAGCTGATATGCAATTCCCTCGATACAGGCCTGGTAACTAAAATAATAATTTTTTTTAAGTTAAATATGCCGATTTTATCCTGGTAACTATAATAGTTATATATCTTAGGACAACCTTTGTAAAAATGTATTGAATTTAAATTACATTTTTATATAGGAGTAGTGGCACTAGATGGTTTATTGTATGTGATGGGCGGAGAATCTGATGAATCTATCAATGATACTGTAGAAATTTACAACCCTAAAACCAATACTTGGACCTTGGAGAGCTTGTCAAGAAATGAAGTACACATTTATGGTGGAGTAGTTGTTGATAAACCACCACATTTTATTAACTAATCGGCATACATAATAGTCTTATTGTTGGTAGAAATATGATCATATTTATGTATAATTTATGACGAAACATATTGATTTAATAATCTTTGTTTTTGTGAATGTTTGATAAAAGTTGTTTTATAATTTAAATTAATAATTTACAAATTAAATGTAAAAGCTATAATGTTATTTGTATTGCAGTGAATCACCAAAAAAACTTGTATAAATTACAATATTCGGTATATTTTTTAGATTTTGTGCAGAGTGATCAATTTATTAATTTTTCTATGATATTTGGTTTTGGATTTTTGTGTACACAATAAACATAATAGATACCATAATAAAAACAATTATTTTATCATTTTATATACATGATCAAAATATTTTGACTTTGTACTATTTATAGATATTTAAAAATGTATTACTTTTCTATTTATGTCAATAAGTTAATTCAAGGTTGTTATAATACATCATAGATTTATATTTTATAACTCTTGAAAATTCAAATTTTGGCAAAAGTTTTTAATTATTTTGTAGTTATAAATTTATAAAAAATTTTAATTTTTGTAAGTGAAGATAGAACATTTAAAACAAGGTTTCTCTTAGGTTATTTATATTGCAACAAAAATCAAAAAAAATTTTAAACAGTTTTTTATTATAGATATTTTAAGTTCAAATTTAGACGAAATAAGATATTTAAAAAACGAAAATCAATAATTTAGTTACTTTGTTGTAATTTAAAAATATAAGAATCAAGGGCACTTGAAGCTTTTATGGAGGATCCAGCATATGGTGTTTTAAGGAGGAATATTTAAAAGGCAATTAGCTTGATATATACATTTGAGCCGTTCTATGTGTAAGTAGGAAATAAACATTGTGTTTCCGAGAATTGCAGTTTGGACTATCCAAAGCTCCGATTTTCGAGAGCAGCATATTTTCTGATAGAAAAGTTAATCTAGTTGATACTTATGGAAGGTAAAAATTGAAAATTCTATGAAGTTTTAGAAAATGTCAAAACAAAAAAAATTTGAAATATTTTGACTGAGCTAGTTATAGGTAGGCTTGCCTTGACATTTTTTTTTCAATTACAATTTCAATACAATTTTATTTGTTAAATAAAAAGCTTGAAAGTTTAATAAAAGGCTCCTAATATCTTGTTACAACGATATTTGAAAAATATTAAATATCGGGTCACGATTTTTTTTATAAGCATTTAAAGTTAAAATCTTGACAAAATACCTAAAAATCGCGAAAATGAGCAAATTATTTTGAAAATCATAAACAATTTTCTTTCATAATCAAAGATTTGAAATTTATTATTTATCTACTCGTGTCCAAACGAAATCTTAGACATAATAAGAAAATTACCAAAAAGAAAATTACCCGGTCACGATCTAATTACTAATGCTATTCTAAAAAATATTCCTAGGAAAGCAATTACTTATTTAGCCATATTATTCAATTCCCTAATAAAAATTGGATATTTTCCTAAGGAATGGAAACTGGCCACAATCATCATGATCAAAAAACCAGGCAAAAATAACACTGACCCGCGCCGCGTTACTATAGACCTATTAGTTTACTGTCATCAGTTTCAAAAATATTTGAAAAAATTATACACTCCAGGCTCACCAATTATTTAAATGCAATAAATGCTATTCCGCATTTCCAATTTGGATTCAAATCAAATCACTCAACTACCCAACAACTCCTACGTCTAACAGTACATATAAGCGATGGTTACGAAAAAAAACAACATACAGGTTCAGCCTTTTTAGATGTAGCCCAAGCTTTTGATCGGGTCTGGCATGACGGACTCTTATATAAACTAAAAATATTAAACACCCCAAATGCTATTTACAATCTAATTAAATCCTACCTCACTGCTCGCTGTTTTAAAGTCAAAGTAAACGACACTACTTAAAATTATAAATGCAGGTGTACCTCAAGGTTCAACAATTTCTCCGTTACTTTTTAACCTATATGTTTCGGACTTTCCTACATCAATTAATACGGAAATAGCACTTTATGCCGACGACAGCGCAATATATTCAAGCTCTACAGACGTTGAAACAGTGACAAAAAATATCCACGACCACCTGAATGACAACCAAAAATGGGGAGATAAATGGAAAATAAAACTGAACCCTCAAAACTCCCGGATATTTAAAACTGTACGGCAATAACATTTCCTGGTCACCTAGCATCAAATATCTCGGCGTAATATTAGACAGGAAACTAACTTGGAACCCACACGGCCACACATCACCTCTAAACTTCAACAAGGCTACAAGAGACTAAAGATACTTTATCCATTGTTAAACCGACAATCATCGCTAAGCTGGAAATGTTCCATTTTGCTATACAAACAAATTGTACGACCACTACTTTTATATGCAGTCCCTGTGTGGGGAAATTGTGCTAAGACCCATATACACAAGATACAAATATTTCAATCTAAAGTCCTCAGGACAATATCTAACCCCCATGGTTTATACGTAATGCTGCACTGCACACGGACTTCCAGCTACCATCTATAACTGATTATATAAAGAAATTAACAATCAACTTCTTCAACCACTTACAGTCTGCTATCAGCGCTAAATACTACAACCTAAGTGTCCCTCCTCCAATACGCCGTCTCAAGCGTGGACGTCCACATGACCTCCTATGCTAATTGTGTATTGTATTATTATTTTCTCATATTTATTAATTCTTAATTAAATCTTAATTGTACATACCTATTACTGTTGTAAAAATATATAGTTAGATCTAAGCTCATAAACATTGTTAAATTCTAATTTATCAATTCTTACTGATTTTGTAATTTTTATTCTTTTTATGATAACCTTTTTCAAAATGTCAAATATTATATTCTTTTAGCCTTAAGTTTAGATGACCAATTGTCAGGAAAACTATATAAATAAAAAAAAAAAAAAAAAAACCATTATCAAAAAACCGTGATACTATCATAGATATAAAGTAGTATACTTTGGAATAGTTTCAAGTACCCACGAATAATATTATACAATCACAACAAAATAAATAAAATTGTTATTCTTGGTTTTTTAATATGTAATTTCGTCCGAATTTGAACTTAAAATTACTATACAAATAAACAGCTGTGCTAATGAAGTTTTAGATTTTTTGGTAACAGAATTAACTACTAACGTGGAATCTTGTTTTAAATTTTCAATCCTTAGATATAAAAGTTGAACATTTTATAAATTTTTAACTACAAAATGATTATTCAATTTTAAATTTGATAAATTTCGTCAAAATTCGATCTTTAAATGCTTATAAAAAAAAATTGTGCCTATGTATTTTTAATATTTTTCAACTGATATTGTAAAAATATATCAGGAGCCTTGTATTAAATTTTTACACGTTTTGGCCCAACAGATAAAACTTAATTGATATTTATAGAAAAAAAAAACTAAAAAAATTGAAAACTGAAAATGTCCGTAAACGGCTCAAAAAGAGTCAAAATATTTTCAAAATTGTATGGTGTATAGGAAATGCTAATCTAAACATTCAGTGAAATTTTCATGTATCTACGGTCATTTGTTTTAAAGTTACACCAAAAACCAAATTCGATTTTTTGGAAAATCGATTTTGCGTAAAAATTCCCGTTATTCCTTAATTTTTATGTTGTTTTTCCCGGCGCTTGTGAAAACTACTGGAAAATGTTTACTTTTGACCAGGTTAGGTTAGGTTAGGTTAGGTAAAGTACCAACTGGTCGGCAGAGTCCTACCCCCACCTCCACGCGGTGCCGACTGGAAACGGAATTCCGGTTCCGGCCAACGGGGGAGGCACAGAAGGCAAACTGTATAAAACCGAACACCGGCGGGTCAACACCAGCGACCAGAGAGGGCCAACATCGCCCTCCAACCACCGACAACACGGACCGAAGGCTCGATGCTCAGAAGACCGGGAAGGTTAGACGGGGACCCAGCGGTTAGTAAACTATGCGGCCCAGTACCATCATCCGAAACTGCCCCACAGCGGCAGGCGTGCCCCGGGGCATTAGTAGGACGCCCGCACGATTCGTCACCGTCCGGGTGATCGCGATTGTTGGGAAAGGCCGCTAGTCAGAACGCCTCAAGAAACCGCCGACCGGTCTTCCAAGCACCGAGCAGCGACGAAGAACGAACGGAGGAAACAGAAGGAAAACTGAACAAACCAAAACACCGGCAGTCAACAGACCAGGAGGGCAAACATCGCCCCCATCCGACACCAACAACAGCCGAGGACGGATTCCGGGAGACGAGCGGAAAGCAGCAGAGCAACGGCAACTCTCTGCACCCCGAAACCCAGCGAAACTGTCGACAGCGGATCGTGGGCCCGCTGCGCAGGAGTAGAACACCCACCGACGACCAGTCATCGTCAGGGTGGCTGAGGAAGTAGGGGCTGCAGATGCAGACACCACGCGACGCAGCGATCCAATCGGATCCCGGAAGATGACAGCACACAACGACGGAGACAGAAGGAAAACTGGAAAACCAACAACGGAGAGACGGGAATTCCAGAACATCGAAGGGGAATTCACGAGGCACGAGACTCGAGGCCGGCTGGCTAACCAGCCGGGCCGGGAAGACCACGAACGTGTCTTCGAGACTGGCGGGCAGCAAAGCCGGGTCGAGAAGACAACAAATGCAGCCAGCGGGCCTTCAGCCAACAATGTCTTTTTCTTACCATAAAATGTTAAAAAAAATTAATTAGTTTAAATGTGCGCCCATCAAGGGACATAACAAAGGTGTAAAAAAAAAAAATTAAATTTATAAATGTCATTTATTAATTCAATAAACGATGGCGGCGTCGCGGAAGTAATGCGAAAGCTGTTCCCGCGACGCCGTCGGTTCCAAACTGAAAAAAAAAAAAAAAAAAAAAAAAAAAGTACCAACTAGATTCACTTTCCTATCAGAAAAGGCACTATTGAAGAAAATCGAAGCACTTTTACAGTCCCAAAACGTGATGACAGACACAAAAAAAATATAAAAATATAAAAATATAAAAAAAAACACACATCATTGTAAAACCAATACATTCATCGCTCCGCTCAGAATCTAAAAACACACATCATTGTAAAACCAATACATTCATCGCTCCGCTCAGAATCTAAAATTAAAATCCTTAATGATTTAAAAATAAACCTCGCTGGGAGAATTTCACCACCGAGTAGGCCAGATCGGTCTGGAGCACACCGGATGTGTGTTGTAGATAATAATATTATACCTTGAATGTTTCCGAGTGACGGAAGTACGGAAGTACAATGGAAGAACGCGGTTTTCGAGAAACAATCCCGCTGCGGGCATAGGCACATAATAGTATTATAATATCCTTTTATTGAACATTACGTAGGTATAGAAAAGACAAACTTATAACAATCGATAAAACTTAAATGTAAAAATCGTAAAAAAATTTCGTATGAGATTCGCTTGTCACTATACAAAATATTATGTTCTGTATTATATTATTATTTCAATGACCAAATCAATTATAATAAACTGCGACCAAGTAACTTAATACGTTCAGTACATTTTTCAAACATAGGTTTTAATTGTAACTGTTAATTATTGTGGAATATGTTGATCATTATGCTTCTAACACAACGAACTTCGGAGCACAGAAGTAATGCAGGTTGGCAATTAAAAAAATAGTTATCTCGTATTTTTAAAAAGATTTGTTGATTTTAGTGTATCCTCGCATAATCATACATTTTTAAAAATTATCCGTGTTTATTGGTCTAGGTGATTTCTGGGACCTGTTGTCGTGTTATCAATATTATTATTTTAATCGTATTGCTTTTACTAATATTAAGGCCTCATGGCACAACATATTTTTAAATTTACAATTTATTGAAGACATAAGTAAAATTACCTATAGATATTTCAATGGAAAACTATTAGACTACCAACCCACTATGCTTTATTATGGATTTTTTTTTTTGATAATAATAATTAGTTTATTTTTGTTATTCGAGAGTTTAACACAATGTCCTCATGTTTGTATAATATTATGGCTCATGGACTCAAAAAATGTTGACGAAAGTTTTCAATATTCTTTTTAGAGATATCAGGGAATTTCAGGAAGTAGTTTGCACCATTTTTGAAAATAAACATAGTCAACAGGTAGATTTATCACCTCAGTGGAATTAGTTCACAATGATACACCGATGACGTGGTCCAGCGATACACCTTATATTTTGTATTTTGTGTTTGCTCATTTTTGCTCGGGTGAAGTCAGGTTTTACAACTAGTATGTAGCCCGTCCATTTCATCTTGACACTCGTCAATCGTTAAAGTTAAAAAAAAACAGTGATTAAAAAAAATTATTTTTTTCAATACAATAAGGGTTTTCAGACCCCTGGTTTTTTTAACATCGAAACGGTCTCTAAGTTGACAGACAAACTGGACGAGTCATAATAATATTATATTTTACATATTATCATTACACCACCGGCGAGAGCGTGCCGTGCTCAGATATGACTAACCTTCGGGTCTTGAGCGGTGCGGCAGGCCACGACCGGCGTTTTCTGAGCACTAGGGCCACGCTCATGGAACCGCTGGCCTGCGTGGTCATGGTTGGCGCGGAAGTTCGTTTGACGGCCCACGGGTCGCCGCCCTCCCACAGGTGCTGTTGCTGTTGGACGTCCCGCGGGTGCGGCCCCTGTTCGCTGAGGGCCCGGCGACCGCGGCCACCGGACAGTATCTCCCGGCCGATCTGCTCCACGTCCAGCTTGTAAGTGCACACGACGGCGGCGGCACAGCCGTCCACCGGTGCATCGGCCGTGACCGTTTCCGTCTCCGCCTCCGTGTTGCCTGACGACGCCCGGTCAGCACTGCATGACAGGCCGCGGTCGTCGAGTGCGTCGATCGGTATGAACAAGCCGCGGTACACCTCCCTTCAACCACCGACCGACCTATTGACGCCGCTCGGTAACGTGGTAGTTGCGTTGGACCTGTACAATATTCGCGATCGCGGTTGTGTTGTATAGGGGCGGTATGGCGGTATGAACAATACTGACTTCTGCAGCACACACAACAACAACGAAGTGTTAAACCAGGTGATTCTTTCAATAGTAAATATCACTCGAAAGGTTTATTTACGGTTTTTGAAAATATTTTTCCGAGAATTTTAATAAAAATCAAATTTCAAACGAGATCGCGTCTATTGTAGTTAGGGATCTAGTAAATCAATAAGTACAAGGCTAGTCATAAGCATTTACCCAACTAAGGTAAACTTAACAAAATTATTAATTTCAAATGACCCATCGACGGCTTATAATATAATAATTATAATTAAATCAATAAGGTATTTATAAGAATATTTTTGATGTGGTTAAATCTTAGCCCCCCCACTTCTTTACACCTATGGTTATAAGTAGGGCTGAGTATTTATGCACTCTGCATATTGTTTTCCAACTCGACAACGCTCATTTATACATAATATTATGTAATACGTCTCGTGTGCTTTCTAATCATACAAGAAGTTATGAGTTACTTCCAGTCTTGTAAAAGATACTTTTAAAAAGTATTCAAGTACAGATACAGATACTTTTTTTCAAAAGTATTTAAAATACGTATTTGAATACTAGAAAAAAAAAGTATTTAAGTACAAATACAAATACTTTTAAAAAGTATTTACAGATACTTTTAAATACTTTCAAATACTTTTTTTTTTTTTTAAATATTTTTCACTTTTTTACCTTAGCCTAATGACCTTATACAGGGTGTCCCACCGAGATCTGACAAGAAAAAAAAAAATAAAACTGCTACTTAAACGTATGACAAAAATTGTTAGTACTATGTGATTACCAAATAATTTAAAAAATATACTCATGTCAGCAAATTTCTAAAAATAATATTTTTAAAAAAGTTATTACATTCCTAAATAATTTAATAAAAAAATTATAGATATTTAAAAAAATTCTAAAAAATAAACTACTTGACTTATAAAAATGTTTTTACCATCAAAATTGTTCTTATAATCAGGTTCACAAATTGGCTATTTTAAATTTATATAAAAAATTTTAAATCAAATTATAAATTTTTTATTTTCAGTATTAAAAAATAAAAATAATTTTTTGTATATTATACGTGTAGCGCGAGTGGCTATAAATTATATAAGTAAAAAAAAATATTTAAATTTTGTATATAGCAAAAGTTATGTCATTTGTCAGATCTCGGTGGGACACCCCGTAGATAAATTGAATTATCAGTCAACTAAATAAATTTAGTATGTATAATGTATAGATATAATATATTATTATCAATCAACTATCGTTATGTTTTATTTACTTCTTTTGATAGTTTTTGATTTTTAATATAATTATTTTAAATTTGTTTAAAACATTGTAGATTTTTACTTTTAAAGTAACTTTATAACGTTCTAACAATATGGGTTTCACTTAAGTATATCCGTATAATATAATAATAGGCAATATACAATAACAATATATACCTACAATGGCTACAAAAATCTGAACACGAACACACTTAATTAATAAATTCGGTTTACAATCATATTGTGTGTGTTTACGATACCATTGCCTGTCGCATATTATAACATAGACGAGTAGGTACCAACTGAAACCAGAAATAATAATCGTTGCTCCTCGCAAACCGAGTAAACATTTATTTTCCAATAGGAATAATATCGTTACCTACCAATAAATACGACAAGATAATAATAATTATAATAATCGGGTGATAACCGCATACCAGAAATCGAGTAAGATAGACCGACGTGACTTTTGATATTATATTAAGTACCTAATGTGCCGATGCCATTGTGCAGCAGCTGAATATAATAATAACCTATTCATATATGCACGGTTGACTGAAATGCGACTCCCTCGTCCACTGGTATAATAATATATACCTATATGTACCTACGAAATACGGAGATGAACGAAAACGAGAAAAATCACAAGAAAACAATATAATAAATAACTTCCGTTCGCAGGGCGACCTTTGAAGGTGATTTAACAATGAATAAGAGTTCGGATTCGGCGGACTTCGTTCTAAGTCCAAGTTTTAAACGTAAGTTGAATTGATACTGACGCGACGTGACTGCGCACGGATAGCTTTTCAATATAAAATGACAATTTGTTTTAATCTCGAAATAATTAATTGTCGTTTCGATGTGTATTGTAGTAGGTATAAAATAGTATATTGTATATTATATTACTTATATTGTATTTGTGTGTACCGCAATGACGAGACATACATTTCGAGACTAGGTACTTGATATAATAATAGTACCTATGATATTGTAGGTAAATACTTATAATATTTAGAGTGATTATTATTTATCGCAGTCTGTGCGTTTCTCATATAAATCAAAAACTGGATAGATTATAGTGTTTCGTTTAGTGGTTAA